ATGAATAGTTTGAATTACCCCGGAGAGGCAGAGACTGCAGACATACGTGACTGCTGGTAGAGAACATCCGAGGAATGCAGTCCGGAAAGTTCTGAAAGTAAGGTAGAAGTGAGCGCTGACTTCACAGATACCAGACTCCTCTCTGTCTGTACACCGGACTGGCCTGTGTGTGCTAGAGGAACCCTCCATGCACCGAATGTTCCCCATAACCATGCCAATGTTCCCCATGACCTCCCATGTGTTCCCCATAACCTCCATGTACCCATGAATGTTCCCCATGTACCTCCATGTACCGAATGTTCCCCATAACCTCCATGCACCCGAATGTTCCCCATAACCTCCATGTACCAAACGTTCCCCATAACCTCCATGCACCGAATGTTCCCCATAACCTCCATGTACCAATGTTCATAACCTCTCCAATGTACCAAAATGTTCCCCATAACCTCCATGTACCAAATGTTCCCCATGACCATGTACCGAAGTCCATGCACCGAATGTTCCCCATAACCCTCCATTGCAACGAATGTTCCCCATACCTCCCCCGCGTAAACCTCCATGTACCGAATGTTCCCCATAACCTCCATGTACCGAATGTTCCCCATAACCTCATTCACCGTAATCGCACCGAATGTTCCCATAACCCCCATGCACCGAATGTTCCCCCCCATAACCTCCATGTACCGAATGTTCCCCACCGAATGTAACCTCCATGTTAACCGAATGTTTTCCCCATAGCCTCCCTAAGATCAGCATTAGACTCCTCTCCTCCAGGTTCCCCTTACAACCTCCGTGTACCGAGAACGACCCTTCAATTATTAACCTCCCCGTACAGTTCGGGCGAGTACGGCGAACCTCCGTGTACCGAATGGTCCCCCATTCCCGTGTACAATTATTACCTCCCCCATAACCTCCTATGTACGTTCGGATCCAGTACCCCCTTCAAATTATTACCCCCCATAAAGACAGAAGGCCCCCCTCAATTATTACCCCGTGTACCGAATGTTCCCCATAAAGAAAGGCTCTTCAATTATTACCGGCCCCCATAAAGAAAAAGGCCCTTCAATTTATTACCCCCCCCCCCCCATAAAACACAGTCCTCCCTTTTCCCTTTATACAGAGTGACCCTCCCTAGCACAGACTCGCCTCCTTTTCCCCCATACAAGAACAGCCGTCCACTCCAACCCCCAACAGAATGGCCCTCCATTTCCCCTCCACCATACAGAACAGTACTTTAAATTTTCCCAGCTCCCCCATACAGAATGGGCCTTTCCATTTCCCCCGCCCCCATACAGAATGGCCTTCATTTCCCCCCCGCCCCATACAGAATGACCCTCCCCCCCCATACAGAAATTGGCCCCTCCACTCTTTCCCCCATACAAAATGGCCCTCCATTCTCTCTCCCCCCCCCACCCCCCCCATACAGCATGACCCTCCCACCCATTTTTCCTCTCCCCATACAATACAGCCCTCAAATTTTTTATTTCCCCATACAAAAGGGCTCTCCATTGCCCTCCCCCCCCCATACAGAATGGCTCTCCCCTTTTCCTCCTCATACAGAATTGCCCTCCTCTTTTTCCCTCCATATAGACTAGCTCTCCCCCTGTTCCCCACTTATAGAACAGTTCTCCCCTTCCCCCCCCCCCTACAAAATGCTCTTTTCCCCCCCCCCCCCCCCACCCCCCAAACACCCCGCACAGAACGGCTCTCCCCATTTCCCCCCCTACAAAACAGCTCTTCCTTTTTTCTCCTTACAGTCTGACCCTTCATTTCTCCTTTAGAAAACTTCCCTCCCTAGCACAGGACTCTCCCCCTTTTCCCCATATGCAACAACCCTCCATTTTTCCCTCCCTCATACAGAACGGGCTCTTCAATTTTTACCCCCCATAGAAAACAGTCCTCCCTTTTCCCCTATAACAGAACGGCCCTCCCTAGCACAAACTGGCATCCCTTTTCCCATACAGAACAGCCCTCCATTTCCCTCTACCCCCATATAGAATGTAAAAATGGCCCTCCATTTTTGCCCTTCATACAGAACAACCCTGTCCCCCCCATACAGAACGGCCCTTCAATTTTTTACCCCCCATAGAAAAACAGTCCCCTCCCTTTTCCCTATACAGAATGGCCCTCCCTAGCACAAACTGGCATCCCTTTTCCCATATAGAGAACAGCCCTCCATTTCCCCCCACCCTCATATAGAACAGCCCTCCATTTATTTTCCTTCATACAGAACGGCCCTCCCCTTTTTCTCCCCCCCCATACAGAACAGCCCTCCCCTTCCTCCCCCCCCATACAGATCAGAACAACCCCTCCCCTTCCTCCCCCCATACAGAACAGCCCTCCCCTTCCTCCCCCCCACCATACAGAACAGCCCTCCCCTTCCTCCCCCCATTAACAGAACAGCCCCGCGGGGGGGCCTCCCCATACAGTAATATCCCCCTCTTTCCTCCTGTTCCCGGTATACGCAACCGTGTTGCCTGGTCCTCTCCATGCTCCCACTCATCTGCCATTCTCCGATTGGGAGCCCACGTGGTGGAGTCATGCAGGCGGAGAGGACAGCGCTACGTACGGCCGCCAGTGGCAGCTGTCAACCAGTACCCTTATTCATGGTATACCATGACGCGTGCCCTCCACAGCTAACTGGAGCTCCTTCGTTCCAACCGCCACTGGGTGGAACGGGCCCACCTTACTCCCCCTATACAAATAGCCAGTCCTCTTCTCCGGAACCTCCCATTCTCTCTCTGAAGCCGAGTAATAACACAGGCTGTCACTCGTCTCACACCGGCCCATATCACCAGCACTGGGAGCTTGCAGTGGGTGGAGCCTGCTGGGACCCCTCCCAAAGCTCTGGCTCTCTTCACAGCTGTATACAGCACACTGGGATGTCACTACTAATTTTACAAGGTAATATCTGGGTTTGCAAAGCCATTTGGGGAACACAAAGTTAGATAATATTCTTTGACTTATTATGGAGGAATACTATTAAAAAAAAAATAATAATATGATCGTTACTAAATTATTATTAATGGAATACATTATATATATATATAATAATTAATTATTATATTAATTATTATTGAGGAATGTACTAAAAAATATTAATAAGTCACAAAAGTAAATAATTAACTACTACCTATGTGAGATATATATATAAAAAGTATATACTAATATAATTGAATGTGAATTTTTTTGCGTTGAGCTCAGCTTTCAGTTTTCATGGGATGGAGTGGAGCAGTGCGCAGAACTCATTCTGGATTTCATTCATTTCTTTATGCTGTCGCGCGAGCGCGGATTCCTATCTCATCCTATTTCCTATCCACCCGCAGGCCTTTTACTCTAGCGACGCAGAAAGTGAACCGTAATCTCTCCAATGGAACACACCACACGCCAACAGAGGACGTTCCATCGAATTACATTTATTGGTTTTGGCGTCTTCCCATTTTTGCAAACAAAACACATTTAATATTCCGATTTAGGATTGCCAGGTTAGGAATAATCCCGCCCTCTGACTTCTTCCCTATTAATTACATTGGCAGCGGCCCGATGCCGGTCAGGCTTGGTAGGTGGCAAAGGTCGATCAGTGAGTCCCAGTCCAATGATTTATGGCCAGAACCTGGGCAGGGTGATTGCTGAGAGAATGACAGAGGAAGCTCTGTGTTGGTAGACCACACAGGGTGAACCCTCTACAGACAGCAGACGAGGTGCCAAATTTTTTTTCTTCCTGAAACTCAGCGGAGTAAAAAATAGGCACATTGCTTCATAAGCACAGCACATACTAACACACTTGTTGGCACACAGTTAACCTTTGATTGCCCCTAGATGTTAACCCCTTCTCAGCCAGTGTCACTAGTACAGTGACAGTGTAATAGTATTATCACTGATCACTGAATTAATATTGCACTGGTGATATCAGTGTCAGTTCCCACAAAGTGTCAGATTGCCGCGCCGTCCTATCACAAGTCCCACTATAATGGCGCTGATCACCGCCATTACTTAGAATTTAAAGCCTTTCAAAGCTAAACCCACAGCAGTACAATCAGTCCTGTATATGTAGTAAAGCATGCTTGTTATACTCACTGTGGAACCCAAGGGGGTTAATCCTCTGCATTGGTGTAAAAAGGCTGTTTGATCCTGTCTTCTCTGATCCTCTCCCTTCTGCTGTCCCCCAATCCAGCTGCTGATAGTACAGAGCTCTAGGAGTCACTTGCACTTGTCATGCCAGGTGAAGTGATTCTAATCCGAGGGTGGAAGGGGGGGTTGGTGTGTATTGCTAGAGAGTTTGTTTTTTTTTCTCTTTGAAGGTTGCATGCGATTAGCAAAGAGCCAATCAGCACTGTCCAGAGGGTCAGGGGTTATGCAGCCTCAAAAGGACAGTCAGAAACTCCCTCCTACAAGCTTTAACCAGTGCTCTGCTGGACACTGATAGAATTCACTAGACTACTATATACTGCTGATGAGGAAAAGGTATTTAGCATACAATTTAGATTTACTAAAATAATTGCATTTCCATGTTATGTGTACTGTGGGAGTCCAGATATAGTGAAGGCGGGGTCCGGGGGAGAGCGCTATAGTGAAGGCGGGGTCCGGGGAGAGCGGCTATAGTGAAGGCGGGGTCCAGGGAGAGCGGCTATAGTGAAGGCGGGTCCGGGAGAGGCGGCTATAGTGAAGAAGGCGGGTCCGGGGAATGAGCGGATATAGTGAAGGCGGGGTCCGGGGAGAGCGGATATAGTGAAGGCGGGGTCCGGGAGAGCGGATATAGTGAAGGCGGGGTCCGGGGAGAGCCGGATATAGTGAAGGCGGGGTCCGGGGGAGAGCGGATAAAGTGAAGGCGGGGTCCGGGGAGACGGATATAGTGAAGGCGGGGTCCTAGAGGCGGATATATGAAGGCGTCCGGGGAGAGCGGATATAGTGAAGCAGGGTCCGGGTGAGAGCGGATATAGTGAATGCGGGGTCCGGGAGAGCAGATATAGTGAAGGCGGGAGTCCGGGGAGAGCGGATATAGTGAATGCAGGGTCCGGGGAGACCGGATATAGTGAATGCAGGGGTCCGGGAGAGAGACAGATATAGTGAATGCAGGGTCCCGGAGATGGGGGGGATATAGTGGGAATAGCGATGGTGTCCGGGGAGACCGATATAGTGAATGGCCCGGAGGGAGAGCGGATATAGTGAATGCAGGGGGGATTTACCGGGGAGAGGGATAGTATTGATTGGATGGAGATATAGTGAAAGTGCAGGGTCCCGGGGATCGATGATATAGAGAGCAGATATAGTGAATGCAGGGGGTCCGGGGAGACCGGATATAGTGAATGCAGGGTCCGGGGAGATATAGTGAATGCAGGGTCCGGTGAGACCGGTATAGTGAATGCAGGGTCCGGGTGAGAGTGGATATAGTGAATGCGGGTCCGGGAGTAACACTTTAAAAAAAAAAAAAAAAAAAATTGCCATTAGCATAGTTTGTAGACGCTACAACTGCAACCAATTATTATACACTTATTGGGATTTTTGTTTTTTTTTTAACTAGTGTCATGCAGCAGAATACATTTTGGCCAACATTTATAAAGAAATTAGATTTTTAAAATTGTTTTTATTGGATATTTTTTAAAAAGTAAAAAATAGTTTGTTTTTTAAATTTGCAGTCTTTTTTTGTTTATAGAATAAAAAATGAAAAACCCAGTGGTGATCAAATACCACCAAAAGAAAAGGTCCAACCCTCAAGGGGTGTACAATCTAAGGTCCCTAACCCTCAAGGGGCGTACAATCTAAGGTCCCTAACCCTCAAGGGGCGTACAATCTAAGGTCCCTAACCCTCAAGGGGCGTACAATCTAAGGTCCCCAACCCTCAAGGGGCGTACAATCTAAGGTCCCTAACCCTCAAGGGGCGTACAATCTAAGGTCCCTAACCCTCAAGGGGCGTACAATCTAAGGTCCCTAACCCTCAAGGGGCGTACAATCTAAGGTCCCTAACCCTCAAGGGGCGTACAATCTAAGGTCCCTAACTCACATTCATACATACATATACTAGGGAGAATTTAGACAGGAGCCAATTAACCTACCAGCATGTCTTTGGAGTGCAGAAATAAATCCGCACAGGGAGAACATGCAAACTCCAGGCAGGTAGTGCCGTAGTTGGGATTCAAACCAACGACCTGAGTACTGCCAGGTGGAAGTGCTAACCATCTAGCCACTGTGCTGCCCATTGATTATGAGATGTTTATGAAATTTGCACTTTTTTTATTATTTGTTTATGTTAAAGTGGAGTTCCACTCTCCCTGTCAAAAAATAAAAGTCAGCAGCTACAAAAACTGTAGCTGCTGACTTAAGAAAAACATCCACTTACTGGTCCCATGGTGTGTCCCCCGCAGCCCATTTCACCGGCCGTCCTGTATTCCTGGAGGCCGGCAACTTCAGTGTGGAAACCCGGCTTGCAGCTTGCACTTCACAGCCGGGTACCCACTGCGCATGCGCGAGTAGCTCTGCACTTCATGAATGGTCCTGTAGTCTTCTGGGACCTGTCATGTGTCCCAAAAGACTGCAGTGAGGGAGGACACCTTCATAGGGCACACTATTTAAACTGGCCAGACGGTGACTAGGTTGCCGTTGTATATTACTATTGGACCTCCCGAGATACAACAGGCAGGAGAGTAGTCAGGGACGAGCCGGGGTTCAGAGCAGGAGAAGGTCAACACAAATCAGGATCAAGCACAAGCAGGATCGGCAACAGGAACACACTTCAGAACACGGGTACAGGAAATAGACCTTGCGGCAACCTAGTCACCATCTGGCCAGTTTAAATAGTGCGCCCTGCACAGTCATTGGTGCAATTGCCGACGCCCAGGTCCTAGTGCCTGCACATTAGTGCACCTAGGCAATCTGTGTATGTGCAGACCTGTGCGCCGCTGCGAGACCCGCAGTCCCTGACAGACATGCTGGTAGGATAATTGGCTCCTGTCTAAATTGGCCCTAGTATGTATATGTATGAATGTGAGTTAGGGACCTTAGATTGTACGCCCCTTGAGGGTTAGGGACCTTAGATTGTACGCCGCTTGAGGGTTAGGGACCTTAGATTGTACGCCCCTTGAGGGTTAGGGACCTCAGATGGTACGCCCCTTGAGGGTTAGGGACCTCAGATGGTACGCCCCTTGAGGGTTAGGGACCTCAGATTGTACGCCCCTTGAGGGTTAGGGACCTTAGATTGTACGCCCCTTGAGGGTTAGGGACCTTAGATTGTACGCCCCTTGAGGGTTAGGGACCTCAGATGGTACGCCCCTTGAGGGTTAGGGACCTTAGATTGTACGCCCCTTGAGGGTTAGGGACCTTAGATTGTACGCCCCTTGAGGGTTAGGGACCTCAGATTGTACGCCCCTTGAGGGTTAGGGACCTCAGATTGTACGCCCCTTGAGGGTTAGGGACCTCAGACTGTACGCCCCTTGAGGGTTAGGGACCTTAGACTGTACGCCCCTTGAGGGTTAGGGACCTTAGATTGTACGCCCCTTGAGGGTTAGGGACCTTAGATTGTACGCCCCCTTGAGGGTTAGGGACCTTAGATTGTACGCCCCTTGAGGGTTAGGGACCTCAGATTGTACGCCCCTTGAGGGTTAGGGACCTTAGACTGTACGCCCCTTGAGGGTTAGGGACCTTAGACTGTACGCCCCTTGAGGGTTAGGGACCTCAGATTGTACGCCCCTTGAGGGTTAGGGACCTCAGATTGTACGCCCCTTGAGGGTTAGGGACCTCAGATTGTACGCCCCTTGAGGTTAGGGACCTCAGATTGTACGCCCCTTGAGGGTTAGGGACCTCAGATTGTACGCCCCTTGAGGGTTAGGGACAGATGTGAATGTACAATATATATGTAAAGTGCTGCGTACATTGATGGCGCTATATAAAAGTGTGTGTAATAAATCAATCAATAGCCTGGACTAACAGATTTGCGTGTTTACAAGGCTAACATGTCGTCACACACAATTCCCCCGCCCTGTGTTCAGATGTGGCAATGATTTGGGGATTTGGCAGTGACCCGAACACACGGAGGGGCTGAGGGTTCACTGTGGGAATGACAGCAGATCAGAACAGACATGGACTTTATTCTGTGTGGGAGGAATTGTGAGGTCATCATCGGTGAGGACACAGATTCACAAACCTCTCCTAGATGACCTTATTGATGTGCTAATAACACATAGGCTCCCATTACTGACCTTCTGAAAACCATCATTTCCTGGCCTCAGTACTTCCCTGGCTGCATGCTTGTTTTGAATCAGTGAACTCAGAACCCCGGATTACCATACATGCTCTTGGTCAGCACGACAGCCAGGCAAACAGCATTTTCAGAAGGGAAACAGGAATAGCAGGCTTCATATGTGGGGGAATACTGGTGTAACGCCCTCCAGGTTAGCCAAATAGGCTGAGTTTTTGGGGTTTTTTTTTTTTCTTTTTTTTTAGGTAAGAGGCTGAGCAGCAGCCTAGGATGAGTCAGCCTAGGAGTGTGGTAGAGAAGTCACCTCAGGACAGACTAGGGAGATTCTGGAGGTCATAGCTTCTGGAGCCCTCCCACCTTTCCAGAAAGCTATCAGATTTCTGGAGAGGTGAGAGGGCTCCAGAAGCTAAGGGGAGGAGGCCCAAATCTGCATTCTTGGGGGACCCTGGACAATCCCCTGGCAGGAGGCTGGGTATGGTGACCAAGGCAACCCTTAAGTATGACAGCCTTGGGAGTGAGTCAGTAGGTTTCAGGTGTAAGATGGAGTAGGAGGCCTGAGTGTGGAGCCTGGGAGGAGGCCCAGGGACGGGAAAAGGGAATCTCCACTGCACCTCCATCTTCTAAATGGGACATCTTGAGCAGTAGGGAAGGAGCCAGCCCAGCAGAGGGCAGCCACCAACCCAACAGGAAGGACAGTGAGATTACCCTTAAACCCCTTGAGCCAGACAAGGGGGGGGGGGGGCATAGTCACGTGGAGAACCCATCTAGCTTCTCATCTGGGACTGTTCTGTATTGGCAGCTTCTTGGTCCCCTTGGTACCCTCAGTACAGCTGAGCTAAGCAGGATTCATCTGGGGGTCTGAGGGCTTTGGATGCTCTCAGAGGAGAGACTTTCTTTTTGTCCACATTTTTGTACATAGTTGCTCTAAGTTTTCCTCAAGTTTCTACAGTTCCTTGGGCATCCCACACACCCCTCAACCCCATCCAAGTTCTAAACCCCTTAATAAAATCACAAAACCAAGCTCAAGGACTGGTTACAGACTCCAGTGTGCAAACTGTAGAATGAAATGCATGGTGCCTGGCTGTGCAGGGCTTTAGGGGGACCCAAAACTCAGCGACTCCTAAGGGGGTAGTGCTACACTGGATACACAGAGAGAGCTGCCATACTTACATTGTGCCAATAACGCTCATCTGTATGCAGCCAAGAGGACAATGCTATCATTGGGGGGGGGGGGGGGGGGGGGTTAAAGTGAGGCTGGAGTATATTTTCAGTAAGTACACCATTTTAAAGCTGAAATTTAGTATGACTATATTTTTTCTTATTCCACTTCCTTTTTTTTCCCATCAACATGCTAATAAAATGTTTAAATAAAACCTATTTTAATTGCATACATCACAAGTTACATACACCCCTGTGCTTGTCAATGCAGTGCTGGCAGATTATGGCTGGTGGGAGGGGCCAGCATGGTTCTGTATATAGCTTCCTGAAAACATCACAGGACCCTGTGTCAGTACTCCTCGGCAAAGCCCTGGTGCAAGCAGTGGGCTGGCTCTTGGGAGGAGTTCTGCAAAAAAAAATCAAAATGTCTTGATGGGTGGGTGGCAGTCAGAAGGAATGGGTGTTCCTCCTAGGCAGGCTGACTGCCTTAGTAAACACCCTTCATGATTGAAAGGACAGAAATCCAATGAATGAAGGGGGCGGGCCAGGGACAGTCAGGCTGGGGAAGAAAGAGCTAGATGATGCTGATGTCTACAGTGTTGGCTGAAGAACGATCCATATAATTCTGTGGATCAATAGCTTTTCAATCCAATCTAGACGTCAGGCCTAAAACAGAGGTGATTGGGAATTCCAGGAATGAATAGCGCAATGGCATGCTGGACAGGAGGACCTTGCCACCATGTTTAGGATTTAAGGACTGTGTGCCACCAGGAAGGCCCACCCATGAAGAACATGGAGGTGTGAAGGAAGATAAATATTTCACCATTCCAGCTACAATTGGGGGTCTATTAAGAAATGCTCATTACTGGGAACTTGCCAGCTTTCACTCGGAGATGCCAGATATTCATGTAGCCTATTGTCTCTTCAAGCTCCATTTTTCAAGTGATTGCCGACTTGCAGGAGTTAACAGCAGTGTCACTCCTGGCAAGCAGAGCAGAGGTCACATTAGCTGCTGGGGGGGTTGGAGGTGGGTGTAATTCTGCTCTCTTTCCTCCATC